CGTCAAACGTAGAATGAACTTTATAAAGGTCAGTCATCTTACGTCAGAAGCACTCGGTCACCCGAATTATGTGAACTCCCTGATGTGTGTGTGTCGGGCCCTAGGCATGACATTCTTGTCATTATCCAGTCGACTATTCTTGCAAGACAGTGCTAACTGGTTACACTTGGTGTCATTATACACTATTTCATGTTTTTATTTTTACTTCCATATTTGAATTTGATTTTAAAATTTAAATACATTAAGTTTTCTGTTTTATAAGTAGATAGCCAAATATAATGTGGCTAAATATTTTGATCAGTCAAAATGAACGCTAGAAACATCACAGATAATAAATAATAAGCGTGTTTGTGTAGCGTCTGTGAGCCGAATTGATAAAAAGTCCTTTTAAATCGGAGATTGAAGATAAAGGCAATAATTGAACAAGTAAATTTCTTTGATGTAAAATGGAAAATTACCAGACATGTCAATTATTAACCATAATAACATTCTATCAACATTACAATTGATATAATTATATATAAATCCATTTTAAGAGAAACAGTAGTCATATGTTTGTCTCTGATATAACCAAATGTAATCTCATAATCGACAGAAATTGCAATTGATGAAATATAATAATAATAATAATAATAATCGTTTTCTATAGCGCTAAACTTTCAGTCAGTCTGACTGCTCCGTGGCGCTTTACAATGTAGATATGATTATAAAAACATACATATATATTATATAAATAAACAAAAGAATACAAAGGAATAGTAAGTTACAATATACAAATGGAAAGTGAAGCATTTAAATTATAGTTCAAAAGTTTGGGAAAAAACAGGGTTTTTAGATGTCGTTTAAATATAGCCACGTTTGGACTATTTTGGACTTCCAGAGGCAATATGTTCCAAATTTTGACTTCTGTACTGGACATACAAGTTGGTTTTTATGAGATGAACGTAAGGAACGAGGAGGTACATATTGTTTAATCAAATCGGATAAATATATGGTGCCAGAGAATCGTTTAAACAGTTGAAAGTGATTGTTGATTATCGGGTAGCCAATGTAACTGTAATATGGTCAGATAGTTTCGTGAGAGATATAAATTTCGAGCTGCTTTATTTTGGATTTTCTGTAGCTGACTTACAAGAGAATTAGGAAGAGAATACAATAATGAATTACAATATTCTAACGATGGCATAACAAGAGCATTTATTAACACTTTAGTGGCATCAAGGCCAATGGGTCAAATTTTGCCAATGTTATACAGATGAAAGTTCTCCTTTTTTCACAGCCTGGATACATGGGTTTCATATCGAAGGACTAGTCAAAGAACACACCAAGATTCCTGACACAGTTGGATGGGGTTATGGCCGTGCTTCCAATAGTCACATGGTTGATGTCAATGTTCTTTTTATTCCCGATTATTATATTTTCTGTTTGTCATCGTTCAATGCCAAAAAATTGCAGTGCATCCAGATTCTAATTCGTTCAATGCATGCTACATGTTCTGATGTGGTATCTGGTGAAGGATCAAGTTCAACATATAACTGGGTATCATCCGCATAGAGGTGGTAATTAAGACCCATCTCACGGATGATATCTCCAATTGGTACAGTGTATGCTGTGAACAAAACCGGTCCAAACACGGATCTCTGGGGAACACCAAAATCAAGAATTTTAGGCATTGATTGAGATGCGTCAATAACAATACTCTCTGCTGTCTTCCTCTCAAATAGGTCCCAGTGCGTCTCTGGATATACTGTATCAAGTTTTAAGTCTTCCGAGTAGGAGTGATTGATCTATTTTATCAAATGCCGCACTCAAGTCCAATAAAACTAGCGACACCGGTTTCTTCCGATCCAAGTTGCATAAGATATCATTGTGAACACGAAGTAAAGCGGATTCCGTACTGTGCCGTTTTTTTGTATGCTGATTGAAATTGGTCTTGGAGATTTTTTTTCACACAAATGATATTTAAAACGATTAGGGACAATTTTTTCTATAAGTTTCGAAAGGAAAGATAAATTCGACACGGGTCGGTAATTTCTTTTAGCACATTAGGATCAAGGGTTGATTTTTTAATGAGGGGTGTCACATGGGCTGTTTTAAGCCATTCACATACTACTACGCCTACCAAAGACGTGTTTATGATTTGGATGATCACTGGAATTAACTCCACTTCGGACTTTTTTATTATCCATGTTGGCAGACTTTGAGACTGATTTCCGAATTGTTTCTTTTATCTCATCTTCTGTTGCTAGATAAAAGTTCTCAAGTGTGCAACCTTCAAACTTTTTCTCAATGAATATGTTTGTTGGTTTATTTACATTGAGTCCTTGTCGAATGGCGGAGACTTTGTCGTGGAAAAATTCAGAAAATTGATCTGATAGGCTAGCATCATTTTGAACCGATGGCAGAACCTTTGGCGAATAATGATTTCTTTTGTTTTCAGTGGAGCATGTTTTTCCAGTATCCCGGAAAGAATGTCATTGTAAACATCCACCTGTTGGTGGGTATCCGTCTTGGTGGCAATGGTACTCAGAAGTAATGAATTATTAATATCGCTTCTAAATTTATCAATAGGAATGTTTTTTGATTTTCTGAAACTTATTGTCCTCTTTATTGGTTCAAGTTTAGAAAACAAAAGATCGCAGAATAAACTGTAGTGATCAGATATCTGATGATCAACAATGTCACATGACTGAATAATGGAATCATGTTCTCTCGTTATCACAAGATCAAGAATGTGATTATGTCTATGGGTTGGCACATCCACATGCTGTTTTAAACTAAATAATAGTAAACATTTCTTAATGTTCGAATCGTTGACTTTATCAACTTGAAGATTGAAATCACCAAGAATTAGTAAATGTCCAGGTCCAGTATTCAGATTATTGAACAGTTCAGAAAATTCTGTCAGGAAATCCATAACATGTGTTGAAGTAGGGCGACGATATACTGACACTATTCTTACACGCTTCTTTCCAAGGAGTACGTTTAATTGTAGTATTTCAAAAGTTGAAAATAAGTTTTTTTTGTACTTGCTCAGGAAACTTTTACAGATTTTTTGAAGAGGCAGGCAATTCCACCTCCTTTAGAATGTTTTCTTATTTTCAAATATAGAGTCAAAGTTAGTAGGAACTAATTTTTTGATGATAACTGTGTCTTCACAGCAAATCCATGGTACTCAGTTGCAATAAATAAATCCACATCATTATCAGCAATATATTCATTCAGTTCATCAGTTTTATTTCGGACAGATCTGGTATTCAATATGCATAAACTCAACTTCTTTGTAGGAGCACTTAGGGTCAGATCAATTAAGTTACTAAAATTAACACCTTGGTCTTGACAGTAGGAATTCTTTCACTAATGACTGTCTTAATTAATCTTTGTTTATTCTTGCCAGCTCTACAACCCCTCGGTCTTAATTGACTGGACATTTTATTTCACAATAAAGTGAATATGAATAATAAAAGTTACAAAAACTAACGTATTAATTAATCTTTTCTGAATTTTTTTCGCGAAGTTGTTTCTTGTACCGTGATAAAGCATCAGTCCAAAAATCACATAAATCCAAATCCTTGTTCACAACAAGAGCAACATAAAACATGTGCTGCCCTTAGGCGCTCTATACAAAGAAATATATTGCATTTTAAAGCGAAACCTCGATTTTTCATAACATCCGAACGACTATTCTTTTTAATGTAATCATTAAACACAAATCGAGAGTCTAGTATATGTGATAGCAGTGGCGTATCTAGAGTTTGGAACGCCCAAAAGTTAACAATAATCACAGAAGATCACACAGATTTTGTATTTTTATGTAAAAATAAAACAAAAATTTTAAAACAATTTAACATTTCGAATATATATATTTTAGTTCATTATTAAAATGTAGGGTTTCTTTTAGATTTATTCATTACATATATTTGTAAGAATTTTTTTTTTGAATTTCGAAACATCGCATACATCAAACACGAATATATGTCTTGTGGACATAGCTTTACTGTGTTTATTAATTTGATTTGGGTGTCAAATAATAGAAAATTCCGTTATTTATACTCATCTGACAATATTATCACATTAATTGTGTCTAAAGATAATAATTTGACAAGATGCTGTGGTTAAATCTATCACCTGTAAATTAATCAGATATCTCACAGAAGACAGCACATGCACTCTCTATAAGCTACAATTGTCACCTGCAAATTAATCAGATTTCGCAGAAGACAGCACACTCTATAAGCTACAAATTGTCTTAATGTTTCTAAATCGTTACAATGGCTATTACTCATCAAGCGGACATCTAATAATATTTTGACCGGGGGGGGGGGGCAGTTCCTATCTGTTTTTGGAGGGGGTGGGTCGAGTCTTTCGCAGCTGTGTAATTAACATGCCTTTAGTGTTTATTTTTTGCGTGGACAACGAGAATTCGGATTTTCGTATCAACTGTTAAATGGAACTAAGATGGAAAATCCTAAAAACGTTTTCAGCCAACGTTGTTGAGGCAGCTCCTTATGTGCGGAGTAACCAACAGCCTGCATAACAAAAAGGGACACGTGTCCTTCAACTGTCACATCAGACAAATAATTTTATTTTAATGCAGTAAATCAAAAGAGCAGAAACTACCCACCCCTCCAAAAGGTGCTGCTTACTTGCATGATTAGCTTTCATTCCCATCATCATCTTATGGCAGTCCACAAAGCCAAATCTGATACTATAATTATAATTAAAAGAATGGACATTATTAAAATGCGAACAATAATCTCTAATTAAAATACCAGTCTAGACTATCAGAAAATATTTCCATTATATACACACCGGATTTATTGCGTGCTGTTAAAAGCAATATTACGGATTTTAATTATTTCCAATCCAGATCTTATTCTGTATAGCCGAGTTTGATCCATAATTCTTCAAGGTGATTGACATGATATTGGCTAGGATATAAATGTTGCTGTCATTGGACAATGGCAGACAATTGATTCTGTGGGTATTGATCATTTATCATGAATATCAAGTAATATATAGATGGGATTTTTGTGTGTCGTTTGGTTAATGACAGACGTCTTTCAGAATCTTGTTCCATTGTTTACCCTTGGGACATATCTAGTTAAAATGTGTACAAGGACACTACTGGTCATTATTCCACGGGGTTTGACTTTCATTTAACCATAATCTCTTATGACTGTAATCATTGAAAATATGCAACGATTGTTCTTCGTGGTAATTATTTTCAATGTCACCATTTTGCCGTGTTTACGTTTATTAGAATCGGTCATAAAATACATATCTAAGGGAGAATATTTCGAAGAAATTCCAGAGAGGGGGCTAATTAGGGACAATCATAAATCTGAATCCAGAATGTAATCTTTAACATCGAGTGTTTCCTTAATCTCAACTCAATAGGACAGTAACTTTATTCCTAAGGGGGTTAACACTTTATCGATGCCAAAAGTACAGAAGATTGAAAACACAAAATGTTAGATTTCATGGGGTCGATTTTTTAGAAATAAGCCAAGGAATTATCGAAACAGGATAATCGCAAGCCATGCTTGGATTTGTTTGAGGGAACACAAGTCTTGCCTGGAGACCCTGTCTTGTAATTTTATCAACTGTTGGATGAAAACACTTAAAGCTGTAATTGTCTCCCTTTTTGTTGAACAATGTATCTTGGTCAAAAGATAGGGGAAAAGTTACACAAAAGTGTTACATTACGTCACAACTACTAACTTTAATACAATTTTTGACCGCACCCAATATCACTATCAGCTATTTTATTTTTAGTTTTTAATATACGCAGACAATATCAAACGATATAGAATCGAATGTCAACCTTTTAAGACAACCAGTTTTAGTAAAAAGTATTTGTAGCAATTTATGAGATATTTTAGGATACTTTATGTATTTACACCATCTGTGAGATATTTTACGTTGATATCAATTACAGAAAAAAATGCAGCTCTCGGTTTCAATTTCCGGTGAGATTTATACATGCAGTTACATTATTCCATTCTTTTTCAAATTGAATTTAGTTTTTGATCATAATGATATAGTAACCTTGATCGGTAAAACGCAAGAAATCAAATAATCGACCTATCTATGACGACTTTATCAGAGGAAAATACCAAAATAACCGATGTATGCATGTATGCAGCTCTCGGTTTTAATTTCCGGTGAGATTTATACATGCAGTTACATTATTCCATTCTTTTTCAAATTGAATTCAGTTTTTGATCATAATGATATAGTAACCTTGATCGGTAAACCGATGTATGCATGGCGACTTTATCAGGGAAGACGTATCTATGACAAAGTAATATCAGGTGTTTCACCCTCAACTCAAATAATGAAATCGGGTTAATGAGGAAGCATCAGTATTAGTGAGGATAGAAGACAAACACATTTTGTATTTATCAACAATTCCTTGAAGACGACTGGAATCATTTTAATGCAACTTTCAGTTTAAATGTTAATTATCACTCACGATACTTCGGGGGTTAGATTTATTTCATAAGGCCAACTTCAAATTTTTAAACCTAGCCCTGGACCTAGCCCTAAAGCTTATCCTAACCCTAACCTGCAATCTCGCCAACAATCACGTGCCCTAACTTTATTAACATCTTAGCGACCTTGACGAAATCTTGCGTTGCCCTTAAAGTTACAATTTCATATTTTCTAAGAAAGTCAAAACATAATTATGTCTATGTCTTTTGCTCAATAGGTTGTGAACACACTATTATACGAATATAGGTTATCTTCTCACACTTGAACATCTTCACACCGGAAATAATAACACAATTACCTTCCAATTACCTCCCTTGTTTTCCTATTCCCCACCATGGAATAGCTATCTTCAAACGTTTGAATTTGAAGATGAAAATGATATTTTTGCCAATTTCTCAGCTGGAATGTGGATGACCAGCTACAAAATTGGTGTTTGCACAGAACTAAATAAAATGAAATATCCACAATACTCAAGACATACAGATTATTATAAGAAAAGTTCAGTCCTGTAAATAAAGTGCTAGCGCCACACCTGGCTCATTAGTTTATAATTGTCCCCTAACTATAGAAAGTCCAAGTCTACAAATGCATATCTTTCGATTTCTTTTCAGCCTTATTTTTCAATAATGAATGGCTAATATTTTAATTTTATTTCACAGTGATTGTCATGTGTACATCATTAGATTCTGCTCGAGATATCATGATAGCCGCCAGGAAGCTACATTTTGATAATGGCGAATATGTCTTCATAAATGTGGATCTGTTCAGCAGGTAACTTCATTTAATTCATTATAATTGAGTTGAGTTTATTTCATGAACGTTACTTAATCCCAATCAGGCTGATAAATTCTTATTAATAATGTTCTGCCATTAGAAGTAAATCACTACTCGAATATACGGCGAATATTAGGCTAATATTCGAATACTATGCGAAAAATGGCTATAAAGATACGAGAAAGCAGAACTATCTATAATACCATAACCACATACACTTTCAGACATCTTAAAGGTTAGTGTTACTTTCGTACAGTCTCTGATTTCTTTTTACTGTCCCCATACAAGGGGCATTATATAAGATTTAGGCTTAATTGTGCCCGACCATTGCCGATTGACAATTTATATTCTCGATTGTTAAGTACCATTGCCACGATACTAACCGAAATCTCAATTACCAGTCCTTCAATGGGCCGTCGCCGTGAGTGGCATCATTCATATTATGGTTTAATGTAGATATGGTGTACAATGTGTAATCGACTGAACATATAAGCCTCCCGGTGATCTAGAGAGTTAATTATGGGCTTGACCCAATAAGCAACTTCTGGAAATCGGTGATCGTTCGATTTCTAGTTTATACGAAGATTATCGGACGCATGCGCAGATAACTGGCTGACAGGTTCTAACAACGCGTGTTGAAACTTGCGTCTGTGCACCAACCGTTTAAACGATATATATGTGATTAAACTATTTATTCCCGTAAGAAAATAGCTGATATAGATCAAATTTCATTTATGCCGAAAGTCGAATATTCGAATACCTGACTACTATTCGAATATTCGAATACAGGAGTTCTGCGATCGAATATTCGAGTACTCGAATACTCCGGCCGAACACTACATATTACTATAACACAGTGGTTCTCAAACTTTTTTTGCCAAAGACACACCTTGGAACACATAAAAAAAATAGCGACACACCCGGCTAAATATATATGAAAAATATTTGAATTTTGCAAAATAAGAACATGGCAAGTCATAGACAGCATAGACCTGTAGACACAGACTAGCCATAGACACACATAAGGACCCAAACTAAATAAAGAAAAACACAGCAATGAACTTATCAGTAGACGCCAGTGAATACTTTTAAATTGGGATCACGTGGTTTTTCGCATTTTCTCTGTGTGCCGTTGAAAATTTCGCGACACACTTTTGGAAGATCTCATTATAATCTTAATTTCAATTATATTTAGATAGATAAATTTATTATCACTATTAAAGAACTAGAATGCGTCACACAAGTCAGAGCAAGAATTTGTAAACCCTCGCGGATCCTTATCCGTGTAATAAATACCCAGTTAGTCTCAAACGATTGTCTATTCTTGACGCATGGTGAATCGTCAATCTAACCAACTTGTTGCGTTGCGTGTAAATCTGCCAGAAGTGTAGTTAGAAACTTGAATGGAATCAAAGAATGGCGAAGCACCGGGTCTAACTAGTAATTAGAAGACAAATATAGAATAAACGGGTTTGTAATTAGTAAAATTTTACTGTATATTCATTTATGTCTGTAGGTGTATATTGTATAAATGATTCTAATTATTACAGTAAAGAACAAAGCGAGAGACCGTGGTATAGAGTTAATGATACCGATGAAAGGAACGAAGAGGCAAGAATGGCATTTGAAACCTTGATGACGGTGCGACAACGAGAACCGCATTCCATGGAATATCAAAAATTTTCACGAGAAGTCAAACGTCGAGCTTCAAAGATATATCCTGAGTTTAGCTATGGAAATGACGAAGTATGTATGATTGGCGAGAGAGTTATAATTGGGATTAAAGAATATCCGTAAAACTAATGTTTTACAAGGCAAGTTCTCTAACAGACGACAAACTGTTACGAAACCATCACTTGCATTGATGAAAGGCAACAGTGTAACTATATGATGGCGTTAAACCTCTTTGATTTAATTTTGAATAATGTGCTCAGTTGATTAATCCATACGATTATATTTTCGTTTCGAAAGATCAAGCAGAAGTCGGTTTTTTAGCAATAATTTTGGTTTCATTCTTGGCTTGTAAATTATTGACTGATAAACACAAATAAGCTATATTTGGGTTTACCTATAGACCTGAATTAAATCCACATTACAATTTTTACTCCAATCGAAACTATTGGGTGTTTTTAATGATCCTCTGCAGTGTCGTTTTCGGCATATAACAGAAGTTGATTATTAATAAGACCGGGTTACAGATTTCTAATATGAATACTATCATTTAAGATAAAGTCTTTTCAATCATTTGCCCTGCTCGCATAAAGTAAACTAAGGCAGTATTTCTGAAACACGTACGTGTGTCTTTTACACCGGAAACCTGGATAGATCCGTATTATGTCGGCTGAAGATGATATTATTTTTGTTAGAGATAATAAATATCTAAGCCCATTTGCTATAATTTTATTATTTTACTAAGAAAAAAAATCTGCAAAAAGTATGTTTATGTTCTTAATCTGAAAGGCTTAGGTAAATGTTAGGGGATTCAGAGGGTTTAGTTAGAAAAGATTAATATCCCTAATTTCAAGTTAATTTTCAGTTGTTATCTTCTGGGAAGAAGAAATCTGGAGGAAAAATATGTTTACAGTCTTTTTAATTCTTCATCTGAAAGTAAATTACCTCCGTGGATATTATAATATCTTGGGATAAATGTACACAATATGTTCTAGACCGATATGTCAAACAGTTGATTTATTTAGAAATACTGGTACGCCAGACTAGTTTCAAGTATGGTGCAAGGATGTGTTAAAGTGGCCACTATACACGTGTACCTACGTCATAATACCAATTATATTTTATATTTAGAAATCGTGTCATGTCTTTTATCGACTAAGCTCTCTATAGTGCTCTAATTCTCTGGGAATTTATCCAAATGAACAGATAGCGTACTTTAAATAAAAACTATGATAATTTGATATCTGTAATCTACTTAGTTTATATCATTGTCTGAATGAATGACTCGCTCTTTTATTGTAAGAAAACGACGTAATATAAATGAATAACTGTAATATTACGGTTTAGAATAAATCTCATGACCTTAATTCCATCATCCCAGGGGTGTGTGAATTTATTTACGTTAGTAATAAATAGATACCCCGTTTAGCTTTTGATGTGCGGATAGCCATACTTGCCAAAATATGTACACAGTATAATCATGTGTCAGTTGTATCCAACCATATTCGTTGATTGTGCCTATAGAGTGTTATAAATTGTTGTGTAGGATAGACGATCTGGTTAGGAACAGCGTCTAGTCGTTCGAATGGAACGAAAACCCGATATACCGTTTACTTGACGTGTATGTAGGAGAGTAGGCCGTAGCGCCGCTGTCCGTGCAACATTTATCCCATAGCACATTTGAATATTTCCAAGGTCAACAAAGGTGACAGAGGACCCAAAAGCGACGGATACACGCTGCCTTTCCCCAGCCTGTCTACTTGTACTTGTTTTTTCACATTCGATCGCTTTATATTAGAAGGAAAAACGAATTCGATACCAGTGCTCCGAATCCATTTTGTTTTAAAAAAAGATTTAATAAAGCAGAATATAACGAAGAAGCGGTATATATTGAGCTATCGGCATAAAACTTTAAAAAAAAAATAATTATAGATTAGACGGTGGGAGTTGTGAAATTGTGCAGATGAGGGGGCAGTTTTACCTGTCTATATTTACGAATGAAATCACCAGGAAAACGAATAGGTTTTTTAAAAAGGATACTAGACTGCAGATTGCCGAGAACTGCTGAATGTATACAAATCAGTATATGATTTCATTGTCAATCTTAATATTTAAAGACAAGCCTTCTTGATTTGGACCAAAAACAAAAGAAAAAGTGTTAGAGCCAGTGTTGATATATGCGAAATAAAACAGGTTGAAAAAACGTTGACAGCATAAACGCCCCCCCCCCAAAAAAAAACCCCCACAGCCCCCCCCCCCTCCAAAAACAAAATAATGGTCACCGACGAAAAACCCCAAAAGATTAGAAGATCAACTTTTTTTGTTTTGCCCTATGTTAATTTTAATCTTTATGTCGGCCTTAATTTGATAAATTACAGGTAAATAGTTTTGTTGGAATCTTCCATGATGCTGTAGTCATCTATGCCACCGTACTAAACGAAAGTATAAGAGCGGGAAACATTCACCATAACAACATCAAACTGGCGCAAAGTCTGTGGAATAGAACATTTCCAGGTAATGTCTGTTAAACAGCTATTCGGATCAACATTTAGAAACGTCTTTGAGTGGCATTTAGTAACTGAACATTAACACAGTAAAAAATATGTATGGAATAACAATTACTAGTTTATGCAAGGTTTCGACGATACTCTCGTCTTTATCAAACGAAAGTATCATCGTCGAAACGTTTCATGTTAATAAACCAGTAACTGTTATTTCATAATATGTAACATTTAGAAATGTTAAGATTTGTTAAAGACGTCATAATTGGTTACATATTTTCATATTTGAGATCTCCAAGCCTAAAAATGGCGATATTTGTTTGTTTACCGTGTGCGTTTATTATCTGTGTCAACGCTGATTTAATAGTTTGTATTTCTGGTTACGCCAGTGACGTCAAGAACGTAATCTATAATTCAGCCTCGTAATTGAACAGAGGCGTCTAGGATGTTTCTAAACGTTGATTCTAGTAGATGCCTTTGTTATTGTCTATTGTTGGAATATGGAAATAGTTTGGATAACCTCCTGTAACCCGTGATATAAATCTAAAAATGTCCAATTATTCTAATTATCCACTGTGTTTTGATAAACAATGAAAAGGAGGTAATTCAGTCTTACAAACTTGTCCACTGAAATTTAATGGATATACGTCAACGGTAGAGAAATAAGTCGTGTATTATTGTCAGGAATCCAAATATTGATTCTGTTTGTACTAAAGATGTGTTCCGAATCCAGATACTAGTATAAGAATGTGCGCTCCCGATTGGTCACCTGGATTCTTCGAGAGCAAAATGTCAAACCAACAACAGACCATATCAGTTTTGATTTAAAACAAATCCGGATTCATATAACTGCTTGTTTGTAAATCGAATCTGGTAAGAGTGTGTAGATTTGGATTCTTGGCAATCGTACACACCCACAATCTATTAACTCGAGGAACTCGTTCGACAATGTTATCACACATTCCACGTTTCCTTAATATCTTTTGAAGTGTTTATGTTTGTAGACAAGCTGTTATGGAACGACAAACATTTTCGTGCTGAGAATAATACTCTTTCGTCCAGAACAGTCAATTCAATCATGCTTTATTCCATACAAAATGATGACCATAAGTGATTATCAGCATGCATCAGACAAATAAAGATTAACTTCGTCTAGACTAGTAATAGACTGTATCTAGTCCAGTAGAAATATGGCTGAACTTGGAAATTGTATGCAAAGTTTTTTTTATGATTGGTTTTGGTAGCCTAGGGTGTCTTCTTTCAGAATCTGTCCGGTGAACCTTGGTCACCCTTGAGGGTTTTGAGATTTGAAAGATGCCGCCCAAGACGGCCGTCATTTTAAATAATCCGCTATAATACCCGTAGTATTTAGTCTAGGATGATAATTTTGGTGTCTTACCTTATGTTTTTGTGGGTCAAGGGATGAAATGAAATGAATTGGGGTTTAACGTCCTATTGTTCTGCTCCTAACTGGACATACGCCATACAGTGGCCTACTCTTATATCGAATTCCAAATGCCAAGGGATCTTTTATGTGCACGCCAATGTGTACACAAGACTTCGGTTTTTGGAAGCGTCTTACCCACTTAGCCACCGTGGCCCCGGGTCAAGGAATACACCGAAATCTTTCATTATTTTGTTTAGTGATTAGATGATAGTAAAATCCAAAATGGCAGACAATATGGCCCTTTAACTTGTTAGCGGTTTTGGATGCCCATACACTTCAGCGTGTTTCAGACATCGATTTGCCAGAGCTCTATACAGAATGTACAGTATTTTATGACTGTGCTGCCGCCAGAAACACGCCTAAAGAGTTAAACTGAATATTACCTACTTACTTTCGTTTTTTGCGGAATAAATTTTTTTTTATATGTTCAAAAAACAGTTTGTCCCCGGCGCCCCTAATAGACATGTATGTGGTGTTATCGTGTCACTTATTATATGCTCCTATGTCCAGAAATATATAGTTTGTCTGTAGATATAGTTTGATTTAGTGAAATAATCGCCCCCAACCGCCGCTAATGAGTTAAAGGGCCATATTATCTACCATTGTTGATTTTACTACCATCTAATCACTCCACAACATAGTGAACGATTTCGGCGGTGTATTCCTCGACCCCCAAAACGAGCGGTTAGACACCAAAATTATCAGCCTAGACTAAATACTATGAGAGTTTTAGCGGATTATTTGAAATGGCGGCCGTCTTTGGCACCATCTTGAAAATCTCGAAAACGCCCAAGGGTGACCGAGGGTCACCTGGCGGATTCTGAAAGAAGACACCCTAGGCTACTGAAACCAATCATAAAAAAACTTTGTATACACATTCCAGGTATACTCGAAAGATTGCTTTTGGCGTTTAGTGCTTAACAATTTGAGTTCAAAATTTTTAGTTGGTTGGTGTGTTGAACCCCAGCTAATGAACATTACTTACATGTTTTAAAAATGTTTGAAGGCAATTTGTGAATCACACACTAGTTCTAACAGGCAATGAATTTATCAATTGACAAAGAGACAATCATAGAGATATAATAATATGCGATGTTATAATACCCTATATTATAACTTTTGGACAATACAGAACAGTAGGCCATTAAACCCCATTTCAGTTAATTTCATTTCAGTCCATTTTTTGAACAATAAACAGTCCCTCAGTAGACACTTTCGGGTGCGATGGTCTAGCCTGCTGATACCGAGATATTCAATGCAGACAAAGCATGTACATTTCTAACTACAATAATCCAGAGGAACATCTTCACACATTCTATTCCAGACATGTCATATGTAAAATTGATAGTACGATTATTTCAGGATTAAGTGGAACTGTATATATCGACGAAAATGGTGATCGATTGATAGACTATTCTCTATTAGACATGAATCCTGAAACCAGTAAATTTGAGGTAAAGTTATAAATTTATAACAAAATTACATCTACTGTTAGCTACTTGTATGAGGTGTGCTGTTCGTGTGACATATACATTACGGTCTGGTATCAAAGTTATTATCGGACAAAATTTGTCACACCCTATTGTGTCGACTGGCTGGTTCTATCTAGTGTGCCCAACTAAAAGGTTCCAAACGTATGTGACTAATCTACTAGATCACTACAGTCGTTTGGGGCAGTGTGTCGGAATATGAATAAACCATTATACCTGTTTTATACGCTAACAGAGACATTCAGATTTTGTCAAACTTGTGATTATGACTGATCACTGTTGATTTTGTTTATCAAAATTCAGGGCCGCGTAATGATTGTACAAATCATCAAATTGGATAAAATATAGCCAAGTGTTAAAAAGAGCTGTGGAATCCAAAACTGACCATTAAATGAAAATTGAAGTACGCATGTCCATGATTTTCAAAATCATCAAAATATAAACGGCAAATAATACGTTATGTTAAAATAATATTATTACCATATAATAAAGGGAAAGTACGTTATGTCCAAATCATATTATTATGATATACTCAGGGGAAAATAATTATATTATTATCACATCAGATAAATTTGAATCTAATGAGTGTTAAACAAATAGGACTAACCAATTTCAGACTATATGGTGATATCTTCTCACAACAGTTTGTGTGGGGTTGGTATTTTGCCGACATCTTTGAAGTTTGTTCGACTAATTTTTGTAGTTTGTGTCTTTGGGCTACGTTAACTTATTTAGTCGTTAATTGACGAACTTGACTCTGCTACCAATCTTTGACTTTCAAAGAAATCATTTAGACAACAAAGTTAAATATAGATAATTAATCGCCGGGGGAATTTTCTACAGAAAACGTCCCAAGTGATTATTTCTTTCTTATTGTTCCGCTGAATTCAAGAAAAGGAATGTTTACGCCTACTGGACACGAATAGTCTCTCCTCTCAGGAGCCGGAAACGTAACAATGTAAATAATATAAATAGAGTTTTCGACTAAAGAACAATTAAATTATATTTCTGTTTGTGTTTTAAAATTTAAAATTACCCATATCGATCTCATATTTGAGATCTGGGAATTTTGGAGCCGTTTGAAAAGTCCATGTATTGCCAATCAGGCTCATTTTTTTTACGAAACAAGAATTCAAATTACCTGCAAATTACTAGCTAGAAAATATAAAATAAACACCCCAAATGTCAGCGGTAAGTTGTTGTTCCACAAGCTATAAGCTACAGACAAATTTGTCCAGTCACAAATTTATTGCTAGTCTAGAATATAGTCTCCGGTTTAATCTGAAAATTTGGTCTTGGAATTTCTTTGAAAACATATCACAATGGGTTTTAAGAAAATTAACAATATCTATTCACTGAAATATATATGGAATTTCTCCACATAAAAAGCAGAGGTTTATTGTGAATTTATCCATTGTTTTAAAATAAATGTAAAATTATCTTTGCTTAAATATATATTTTATATTTTTCAGGTTGTAGCTAATTATATTGGAAGAGAAAAAAGATATGAAGCGGTACCTGGTAAGGTCATCCATTGGCCAGGGGGTAAAGGTGGACCACCAAAAGATACACCAATATGTGGCTTTGATAAGGCACTTTGTCCCCAAGAAGGTTTGTTCTATCTCTAATTTTAACTTTGTAATTATTAATATTCTAAGTAATATAACATCGCACCAAATTATCAGTTATGTCATATTGGTAACTGATCTAAGAATTACGCTGACCGTGGATTTCACTTTTTTATTATAAAAGCATTTATTATAAGCCAAGGCTCTATTCTTTGAAACCTTAAAATAGACCAAAAGGGGTCTAGAAGCACATATCAATGTAATATGAATGTATATAAAGTGAAATATATTCAATGTTTAATAACTTTATTGTCATTTCTAATCAATTACCCGTCTTCATTAGCCCAGTTCGGAGCAAAACAGTAGGACGTTAAATCCCATTTCATTTCATTTTTCATTTCTAGTCAATTATGTTTGGTGGAATGCGTGAACAGTCCAAATTGAACGACATACGTTTACGCTTTCTTAGTCCATTCTAAAGGTTTTTTGATATTATTTTGTCGTTTGTTAATCAGCCATTACTAATTACTTCCGCATTGTCTTGTCTTGGATATGTTCATTACAAATGACGCCAGAAACCATAGAATACACGACTCGTGTACTGATCTTAAATATGGAATATTGAGATCTCATAATTATTTTCACGGGAAGATAACATCAACATTGATTGAAATGGATCCATATTGAATTATCATTCATGTTTTTACTTTCTAATATTATAGATAATAGTGAGTTAGGTGTTTAGCTTCTTTAATATCCTTTTGTCAAATTGCTTTTACCGGAAGTTAAAAAAAAAAGGTTCCTTTCAAGAAATCACTTTTTATTTTTTTACAAAAATGAATAAAAAATCCCATGAAGTTATACAACCAGTCTCGATAACTTTCTACCCTCCGGTTGATGCTAATTAGTATTCTCCTCTTTCATTAATTCATAATGAAATAGATTCCATTAATTTTCGGGAAAGATATAAACATATTTATAAGAAGATAAGCCTCTCTAATTACAAAACCTAACAAAAATTTTACGGTAGACGTCTATTACAAAAACCCTTCAGATAAACACAAAACATTTCTTATATAATATATACATATCTCTTTCCTATGAATCAAATATGTCTCATAATAAGACAAGACAACAATCATTATCATTCTTTTAAAGCGAAATGACTCGACGTTCTACTGAAGTTTTTTTAAACAAAGAATCCATATTTCACATTAATTGTTTTTTTTTTACTTTAATAACAATTCACATAACGACTGTACTTCCCATGACTTATGTTTCCACTCTGAATTCTGTCTTATGAACTTCAACGTTGTCTCTACTCTTCAAATTGCCTGATCTTGAATGCCACAACTTCCTATTCTTCTCAGCGTTGGCCAGATCTTTATTTAAAATTTCGTGAAACAGGACACAGGTTCATCTAGCCATGGAAACCAAATTATCAGTTGTATCATAATTAGTAAATGAACTCCGAATAACGCTGACTGTTATTTTAATACCTGATATTTTACCATTATAATTTATTACATATTATATATGTTCCTGTATGTTGTATACTGATATTAGAATTATGGATGTCTGACTTAAGATGATCGTTCCAGTGCTGTTAAAGTCAGCGTTATTCGGAGATTAGTTACCAAATTAGAATTTGAAAATCATTAAAACGAGAGATGATCAGGTACTAATATCTTTTAATATGCCATGATATCTCACTAACCAATTTAAAACAGAACTGCTGATAATATTGTTTTACATCAGATATGAGTCAAATGTGATGTTATATACACTATAGGAGTTATTTTAGTTCCATGAAAGGCTTTGTTTAATAAATTGAAGTCGTTAAACAAATGGATGATGGATAGATTGTTAGACTGACTCACTGACAGTTCTGCCACTATCCTTTCTGGAAGTTTGTTACTGTTGTCCAGCCATCTGGTACTCAGATTAGTCCAATTAAATAGAATATGGTTGACGTAAGAGGTTGTCCAAATGAAACATTTATCCAAACGTTTTGTATGCTTTAGACATCATTCTGTGTTCCTCGTTTTCAGACATCATTTGGTAGTCTCAGAAGGACGTTCGCACAGCCTTCTCGACTTAGAGGCCGGGATACAAATCCGTGGCCAGGAAAGTGTCACAAACCGATCTGAAATGGGGGATTTTAGAAATAAATGTAGCATCAGCAAATGAAATTGCAACATTAGAGGATTTACAAACGGATAAACATACCCTTTCGGTCAATTAAAAGCCGAGAATGATATACAACTGAAACATTAGGTTGGACAGCATTTCTGTAATGATATCATGTACAACTGATAACATTACACAGATCAACACTATCGTGATGACGACCAGTCTTAATTCTGATTAACAAAACTTAAACTAACACCGGTGAATGGATCGTAATTTTGTTTTTAGTTATATAGCATTTCCCCAAAACTGCTAATTAAACTACTATTCATTTTAGTTGTAACGTTGAATAGATTACGAGCGTACGGCTATCAAGTGGATGGTTATTAGATATTTGATATTTCACAATGCTGCCAGCAAACAATAAATACATGAATAGGACATAGCAGTAAACTAGTAAACACAAAGCACACTTTGTACTGCCAATCTGTGTTATTGTATTAATTTACTGCGGAATAACGGTGTTGAATGTCAACCGACTCTTACTAAGCATACATGTCGTACGCTTAAAGGGTGGTGTGATATTTGACATAGTTGTTTTTTTTTATGATATGTTAGATCAGCATTAACCATATCGTTGTAGGCTGTGTTATACTATTGCCTTTAAACAACTTGACGAATGACTTGAACTGTGGATATGTGTCCCCGAGGATACCATCGACGGAGCAGCTGCGTTATTGAAAATCAAGTTTTAGCTACCAGCATTAACGGGTGTCGTAGACCCGACGTAACTTCTCATGTATCTTGGAAGTTTCTAACAAATTTTGTAACTCTGTATTTCCATCGAAATATCGAATATATTGACAAATCAACTGATGATGGCCAAGGGTACGATATGGCCGCGACTGTTGTTAGTGTAGATTGTGTGCGGTCTACACTTCGCGGAATCATATTTATTATTACTTCAGAATCACTATGATACGATCTATACTGTATTATGCAATACTAAAGCCTAATAACAAATGTCACGAATGTCTCGAAATATCACAAAGTCATACTCCAAGACCGCCTGAAATAAGTCAAGTATTATACAAGTACATGTTTGTCAGCACAATGTATTATTTTAGAGTATATTCGTCATCATAATAGCAGTATTTGCAGGCGTAGCACTATGTCTCCTCTGTAATTCGAATGGTTCTTGTCTAGAGGTAGAGTTTAATATTCAAGAAGTGTAACAACATCGTCCAATTTAATCTCTCTATCTATGCCAACTTAAAATTATTCCAGACAAAATTTTGGGATCTGATGTATTGGATTATCAAGATTTACACATATGTCCATCAATTTCTGGTAACATTATTTCTAGTAGTCTTACCCGTAGGAATACCATTCTGTCGATGAAAAGGCAGTGTACAGGATAACTTGATAAATAATTATATAGCTATATTAATTCTATATATTAGCTATATGAACACTGATAGAAATTATAAGCAGTAGTTATATTAATATTTTAGCTACAAGTACAGATTATACATTTCAAACTATAGTTATATAATATTATATGTAATTAGGATGTACACATATTAATATGTATCATAGATACAATGTCAGATTATATATTTAGTATTATGGATATTATATTAATAAGACTGTACTCATATTAATATTTCAGAAACAATGCAAGATTTAGAGCTATAAACTATGTAATTAAACCATACACATAATTGGGCCTGGGCCCCGGGCGAATAACGCTTCGTTGCCGATCTCCACCCGCACATATTATGATATTATGTGACATCAAATTATCCAGCATAAACGCAAAACATAATATGGAACACAATTACTATTTTAAATAATGTGACGTTTCGTTGGGGTATTTCAATGTTATAAAGCAAATGATTATGAATAAAGTTGTTGTTAGTTAGTTGTATTTTACGTCCGCTTCCACCGAGGTGATATCGCAGACAATAACATGTTATGTATACATGTATGATGAATATAATATAGAGGAGATTTATATACAAAACAAGTAACAACTAATTAACCAATAATTAATAGGGAAACCATTTAAATATATAAAGTAAAGACACGTTCAAAGAACCCCAATGGCTTTAATTAAAATAATAATTGTGTTCTACGTTATATTTATGTGTTTATTGCGTATGCCAAGTTGCTAAATGCCGCTCAAAGAAGATATTTATTTCTGGTTTAACCCCTTTGTATTGTATGCCATCTGAACGTATGTATTTGTAGCTTATTCAGGAATGCTATATTGCACTTTTTTTGTATTTTAGCTACTATGCCAGAATATATAATTGTGATGATTGTATTAGGAAGTCTACTAATTATGGTTCTTGTGGCTATACTCTTCATATATAGGTAAATAAACAATGGCTTCATAATATTAATGGTTATGTGTAGCCCAGAGGTAGAAATTTGAAGAAGCAATAGTTAGTATTTACAGCTTTCATACCATAGTGAACCACTCATTGCAGATACTTGTGGACAGATCTGCGCATTTGTAGCTAGGGCAAATCGATAATTTTGAAATTTACAAATTTGATATTAGAAATATTTTATCAAAGCAGACTAATTTACATTATTTCCTGTGTGTTTACCAAAATAGCTATGGCATTTGGTGTAGCCCTCTCTGTGAACGTTTGGTCTGAGGTTACCTCCTATTCAGCGTCTAAAATCCGATTCCAGTCTATTGGCCAATTCAGTAATGACAACGGTCGTACACAACAGAACTATAATACAAATACACCTTCAGGTTCCTGTGAACGTTTTACACAGCTAAGAATTTTGAAACTTTTTATGATGTAATGGATGACTAAAAGTTGTGATAAATATTTAAAGAAATGGCAGAGGGGCACTTATATGAACTGTTGTTTATTTTATTGAAGGCACATGAGAATGGAAGCCGAGTTAATGAAGATGAACTGGAGGGTCAAATGGGATGACTTGGTGTTCCATACTAAAACGTTAGATCGCCAAGACAGTCACTACTTTACACAGAGAGTAAGTTATTTATTTCTCGACTTCTTAATATACAGCATTTCCATATTTCACATAGAATCTGTTGACACATATAGCTTTAAGGATGCAATTCTACGCACCAAAATACCATAGGTCGCGATAGGCTATCGGATGGGGATGGTTGTAAGTCTCCAAACAGGTTTAGCTTTTACAATCGTTTCCAGTTTTCTCTCTAGCTGTCAGGGTTCTAGGGAGCGAAATGAAATGAAATAGGGTTTAACGTTCTACTTTACTGCACCAACTGGGATAATGAAGATGGGCGTATTATGCCTTGTTAGGTGTTAAGGGGGGGGGGGGGGGTTGTCATTTGAAAACTCCTGCTGCCCTTTTTAAGATCGTACTCATATGGGTCCAATCATTATAATTAATTACATATTTGACCAATTAGGTAATTGAAAGCCGAAACCCATGCGTAGAAAACCATCAGAGCTCTGGTCGATCGGTAGACAACATGTAGATTCTTAGAGAGGAGACACGCATTGAGAGAGACCGGCTGAAAAGACACCATCTGGACTCAGAATGCCCCGTTAGGTCGTAGGGAGCCATATTATGTAGGTAGTCCGTCAGTAAACTCGTTCCGTAAAATGGCGGGGCTGAGAGAGTAGAGAATGACTTTATTGTAATCAATGCTTGTAACTTGTGTATCCAGTGCTTGATATAAAATGTTAAAACGAACAGTTGCATTGTTGTTCCTAGTAGACAAACGTAGAAGACGTCCTAAGAGAGAATTCAAAATGTGGCCAGAGACAAATCTAGACGACCATAAAGGCTAATGAAATCTGTAGCAGAGTATGCGTGACACGTCGGCTGTGGATTTTTTTTTTTTGAGCTATGCTTTCCACATCTAACCGTTAACGCAGATTACCTCAAGTGGCGTTTTTGCAATTTTGAGCATACTTTGTTATACAAATTTGTAATATTATTCTATTTGCCATTAACAACTCATAATTTAACCCCTTTGAAAAACTTCCCTAACAACCAAATATTTGTCATTATATGTGTTGATAAAATGTTAGAAGTCTGAAATATGTTATAAATCAAAATTCTTCGAACAACTTAACTTAGCTGTTACACAGGACTAGGATTAACACAGCTATACAGGAAATTACAAACTTTTATTCGCTAAATAGAACGGATACTTTAAAGATGCAAATAATAAGAATAAAGTTCATTTGGTGTATCCGTTAACGGAATACATGATTATGTCACACTCAATCCAAACATCTTTATATCTCCTAGAACTCCAAAAACACCAGAATTTCCATTATCAACCGTTTTATATACTCAAAACATGTATAAACCAAGCTTTAATACAATTTCAATTATACAGCATCCGCTAAGGTCAAGACTTTCTTCTATAAACTTTAAAAAATATACATCTATTTCCAGAAAGGTTCTCTAATTAGCTGTGGTTCGAATGAAACTTTACCAGTTCATGAAAAATCAGGCAAGAAAAAACAACTTTTCACGAAAACAGCTTTTTATAAGGTATTTATAATCGACAAATTCTGTTTTATTTGGTGTCAGTTTCATTCAACTCATCTAATCTCTAGCGCGTAGTTGATCATACTATTAGATTAGCTGGTCAATATCACTCTCCTAAAATATCTCTGGAGATTTTCTATTCATTTTGTTATATTAGGATTGTGTTTCTAGAATTAATAAAACATGTAGTTCAAAGAAACTTTTAAGAGGCCCTGTCCTGATATATCACTGCGTTAAGACATAATTCGTGCTACGACCTTTATATGTGCTGCAAGTATGGTTGTTGTTGTCAATAATTTTATTTTGGCATGAAAACAACTACCATACACTCACGTACAAATGTTTTATTTTAGATACGAATACCAGACTATGGAACCATGCAAATATATAGTGAACCCCAATATATATGTAGTCGTTGCAGTTTGTTTTTATTTTCTTCGCTGTATTACTGTACATTAGAACTACTGTCGATATAGATTTATTTTGCAGCCTGCAATTAAAGGCGAATTTCAGCCATTGCAATTATTTTTAAAAAAATGAAGATGTAACCCCCGCAAAAAAAATTAATAAACTAAAATAGAGAACTACTATACCGTTTCGCTTTCTTTTTTTTTCATTGTTTGGTCTCTGTTGGGAGAACTATAAATACAATTGTTAGTACTGTTGTCGTTGTAGATTATTTTATTACCTACGCTGTATTACAGGAGAACTGTAGTCGTTGTAGACTATTTATTATCTGGGCTGCATTACAGGGGAACTGTAGTCGTTGTAGACCTTTTTACTATTTAGGCTGTATTACATTAGAATGGTCGTCAATGTAGAATATTTATTATCGGGGCTGTATTACAGGAAACTTCACTTGATTATTTTTTATTATCCTTGCTGTACATATAACAATAGAACTTCAGTGGTTGTAGAGTTTGTTTTAATTATTACAGCTGATCACCTTACTAAACTATTTGTTCTGTTTTGTTGGGGAGCTGGACTACCATGTTTTCATGAACTATTTATCATACCTTTTAAATTAGACCCAGACAATGATGATAATCTTCACCCATTTGGTCATGCATCCACCTATTCACTGATTGCTTATGGTAAAATGAAGTAATTAAAACTCCACATTGTATGTGTATTTTTTGCTCTTCAGTGTTTATTAATAGCTGTAAAACCATTAAATAAAACCAATATCCACATCAATAAAACTTTACTTATAGAAGTCAAAAGAGTAAGTATTATAAAAAAAAATAATTTCAATTATATGGATTATGTTTGTACATAAAGATTATATTGATACTCTGGAGTCCATTCTAATCTTCCTTTTGTAGACTTTATTGATTTCAGCGCCACCTCCTGGGAGTTTGATAATGGACTTATAGGCGATAATGCCAGCAATGTCAATAATAACTTCCCCTCCCCTGTGATCTTAAAGATCACTTTTTTTTATAAAAAAAAAGGTTTTGTTACTGTGTAAGAATTGAACATATATCAAAGATCACGAGATCCATGTATATTATGAAGCTGTCTATACTAACCAGCTATTCCCTTTTCTACCGCAATTATAGTCCAGGCATTTTAACTCAATTCTGTATCATAGTGGGCAATTGCCGACAACGGTTTATGGTAGGACTATATTATCAAAAAAATCCGTGTCCAAATGGGTCAAATTGGCCAAAATCCAGTTTTACCCAATTATTATGATCAAGTTTGGTACAAAATATATATTTTCTAGGTAGCTGAATCCATTCCATAACAATTTTAGTGATTAGTTATTCCGCGGAGTCAATATTGGTTAATAATTCAAGATAGCGGTCAATTTTGGCGGGAAAATTCAAATTGTACGAAAACGATCAAATTATTGATTTCATGTTCATGCATATTTTCTCATTTTGTAAAATTAATTGGCTCCAATAAGAGAATGGGGCATTAAAGATACTTCAGCCCTCCCACAGATCTAATACGATGACATTCATCAAGTATCAGCTAAACTTCATTTTGACTCTCTGGCCTACCACAGGCCTCACCCACAGCTCACTGGTGCGTGTCAGAGTTTGGTCACCAACCTGGAATAATGAAAGATGCCCAAACCTATTGCAGAACACGTCAAATTTATTACACAAAATGATTCAAATGGTGGGACCTATGCGGCTAAGCTGGGAAATGGTGGTCGTGTTTACGAGCTCGAGCTCGGTGATAAAAACCACGTGGAATGTTGCAAACATTATTCCCATACAACTAATATTGAAAAAAGTTGAAAGCGGAGGGGCCTGTTCTACAATGTCCATGGCGCCACAGTTTGTTTTGCGGACCGTTGTATTTTTATGGTCTGAAAGTGAAGATTAGCAAACGGTCAATGAGGTCACAGATAATGGGTGACCACTGTTACAAGCGTTGAGCCAGTGACAACTATTTTTTTAAGTTTTTATTTGTATTTGTGCACCTATTTGTATTTCTTTTTGTACCCCGCCATCCAGCCATCTGTCCGTTCACCTATCTACATATATCGTATATTTGTCACACTTTTGAACGTTTAAACTTGGTCCAGTTGATTATTAAGTGAATGCCTTGACTAAGTTCGATAATGAGCGGCGCTAAGCATAGATAAGCAATTTCAATGGCCGGGAATGTAAGACAGAATAACTGGGCTTCAATTGAAACTTCGGTGGGGAGGAATAAACCTTGGTGTATAGTTTCATTCCATCAATATCTTGGTCGTTATTTTCAATAGGCATGGTTATCTTGGTTCCGTTATCAAGGGTGCTGACCAAGCTAAGACACCCTCCCACGCTGCTTCCGCAGTGAGCTGAGATTGGGCCCAACTGACATACCCACAGTGGTAGAAGCGTAGCTGGGAGTATCATCACCACTCGTAAGCCAGGGAGTCCAAATGAAATTTAGATGATACTGGATGAATGCCATCGTATTAGGTCCAACCATTAATCTCCAATGCTTAATCAGAAATCTAAATCTCCAATTGGATTTCCTCCTATATTGTCACAGGATATCCACTTATTTACCAAAATATGTACGAAAATGGATTCATTCAAACTTGGTCCTCATGTAAAATTTAAATTTCTCTTCGAAACTGGCCACCAACTTGAATGACACCCCCCCCCCCAAAAAAAAAAATAATAAAAATAAATAAATAATAATATTGACTCAGCAGTAGCACTTTTCACAATGCCTTGTATGGAAATGGATTCAGCTACCCCGAAAACGTATATTTTGATTGCAAACTCGATCATATTATGATCATTAGGTGGAAAATGGAGTTTTCAAGCCAAAACCAGCAGCCATTTTGGATTTTGGCCAATTTTACCCATTCGGACGTGGATTTCGGACTGGTACTTTTGATTTTGGTGATAATATACGTTTAGACCGACCATAAACCGGGGTCGACATTTATTTCTATTGCAGAAATTCCCCCGTACTAATGTAATCTTGCCTGGACTATTATGATAACGATGTATTATGTACATAAGCTTCATTTCATTTGAGAAGTTCACAAAGCTAACAAATTTGGATGTTTTCTTGCATTTGGATACAGACTACAATATTTACAAAATATTTTACGTTTTAAGAAATTAAACTACGTACTCTAACTTATAAATGTGTAAATGGCACCGCTCCTAAATATCTTTGTGAACTTACATTCCATCGAAATATCTGCGATCGAAATCTCTCAATTAACTGATCATACCAAGTTACAGGATGACAACTTTTTTTATCGTTCATTTGAAGTAGCTAATGCTAGAAGGTGGAACTCATTACCGATTAACCTACGTCAGTGCATCTCATTATCATCATTCAAAAAATTTTTAAAAACTGAAACAAGTTATAACTATGAGCTAAAGACTCTTTATGTAGACATACTTGGTCCAGCGCTATGAGCACAATTTTTGTGGAGTTTGACGCTGTAGAAATGAACATTTATTATAAATTATAAAAGAAGCCAAACTGGTCACACGTCTGATTTATAAATTCTTCAATAATAAAAACAGTCAAAACAGTAATATTTCCAACTGCTTGAACTACTTTCATTCATCGGATTTCTCCACCTATCTTACGAACGATGTGATATTTATTAAAAAATGATCGAAGAATATAAACAAAGGCAAATAAGACAGAGAAAATACATGTCTTGTCAGTTATGTATTTTAAAACCCCTTTTGTAATTATATTATAGATAAAAGATTTACAGAATGACCATATTGTAAGATTTATAGGAGCATGTATTGATCCACCACATTGTTGTATATTAACAGAATATTGTCCTAAAGGAAGTCTACAGGTAACCATTCCATGACTCCATAATCCATGTAGATACTATAAAAATAAATGAAATGAAATGGGGATTAACGTCTGACTGTTTTGCTTTGAACTGGGCTAATGAAGACGGACATACACCATACAGTGTGCTAAGAGGGAAATTTTGCTTGGACAGCGGCACTATGGCCTACTCTTATATCGAATTCCAACTGTCAAGGGATATTTTACGTGCAAGCCAATGTGTACACGAGGCCTCGGGTTTTCGTCCCACAAGAACGAATCGACAGCTTCCTTGCCAGGCCTTCCGTCCTGCACCACTGACAAGAGAGAACCAGGCCGGAAAATCTGTATGAACTTTTTCCACCAATACAGGGATCGAACACCCGATCTCCAGGCTAGCGAGCCAGAGTCTTACCCACTTAGCCACCGTGATCCCCTACCATATAAAGTATCGGGGCCGTATATGATTATTGAATGGGGGATTGTTCCCGAAAATAGTAATTAAGTTCGATAAATCTCCGATTATTGCTCGGAAACTTATTATTTTCTTTATGGTGTTTCTGCTTCGACTACAAAAAATACAATTTTCCCGATAGCATGGGCTGAAATGACAGCGAGTATTTAGAATTGGGTAATTTTGTAGCTTTTAAAAGTAGAATTATTATACCGATGGTCCTTTTTGAGAAACAAAAGACACTGATATGAACGAATTTCTTTGAGATTCGTTTTAAACAAAATGTTATCGGACAATTTCTGATATGTACCTTATCTTTCAGGATGTTCTAGAAAATGAAAAGATTAGTCTAGATTGGATGTTCCGATATTCAATAATGCAAGATATTGTCAGGGTGAGCCATTTGAATTTTCTAATTTCCTATTAGCCATTGAAATTGAATCACGCTCTAATCGAAGTAAAGAAACAGAAAAATGGAAGCAGTGCACAAAAAAGAATGTTTCCTATCTTACTGATTTTTTTTAGTAATGGGGCTTTGTGCATCTTGCAACATCTATAATTATGCCCAAAATGCATGTTAACTCATTTTTGTTAAAGCACTTAAAATATCCATTAAAATTTTATAGGATATAACCTAATTTAGGTTCATTGAGTAATTTGATTTATTTGTTTCATAGCTGGGTCAGTTGGCCATGATAGGTACACACTCCACTGATCTTCTTTATGTAATATTGTATACGGGATTACTACACATTGGTTTTGCAGTAGGAATTACCGTAAGAATTAAGAAGCAAATTGAGCCGCCAAGAAACGGTTGTTAGATTTGCTTAAAGGCTTTACGCTTAAGGAATTTTATTCTGTAATTGTATGAGTGACTTGACGTGCTAAACCACTTAACATCGGCAAGATAGGCATGGTTATCCAGTCCCCACTTACAGGTGCAATTTGTGCACTTACATAGAGACTTAAATATGCATTATGAAAGATTTAGATAAAGAGCTGACTGTTCTTGCAATAATAGTTCCAAAATAGATAATTCAAAATTGATATAACGAAAATGTCATTCAAATCACTTTATTCTGAGCAACGTTATCAATGTTTGAAGTTTTGACATAGTTGCTTATTATCGTAGCAACGTTACTTGTTAATTGAGACCCAGTCTAGGTTCTCCATTTTTAAATTAAGTCATTAAATGTTGATCGCCACCGTTTACATCTGCAACGTCCGATGTTCTAGCGAGTTGATTATACTTGAAGGCAAACCCCCGAAAAAAAATGCAATAGACAGATTTAGCGCTTACATAAAGTAGGTATTTCTTTGAAAAAATATATGTCACAGAATTTTAGATAGCTAACACCGTGATAATAAAAGGCAAGTAATCCTTCGTCTCGAATTAACTAGTTTTGTCCACCAAATGTATCTAAGACTTATAATGTGAATATTTCGTGGTTTCAAATCCACTTTACGCAATTTAGGTCATGATCATCAAATTATTATAGTCCCCATTATTACATACCAATATCAAACAAAAAAAACCCCACTAAATACAAACATCAAATTGATATTATTTTTAAAACTACGCTTAAGATAATTACGACCAGATGTAAATCCTTACAATTGTTCATCATTTCAGGATTATACACGAAAATATAATGCGTTCGTTGCAAATCCTTTAAGCGATGTTTGAAAAATTTAGATTTAATGTATCCTATATATGTGTACAAACAGTATTATTCCTTTTGTCATGTGACGTGATTGATTAGAAAGTTTTTCTGAATGTCTGTTAAATTGTATGGACGCAAAACTTCAATGTGTGTCTTTGAACAAAAGACACTGGAAAATAAAGAAAGGAAACAATTGATTGTCTGACGCCTTATGGCAACGAATCCCACACAGCAACTTTAAAAACAATCTTATTAAGGTTTATTTCAAATCCAGTTATAATTCCTGCTTATTGGCTTGTCGATCCAACCTTTACCACGTCGAAAACTCACCGTAAAGATGCCAAACTACAATCAAATGACATAATTTTATTTTATGGGGTGGGGTGGGGATGGGGGTTGCGGGTCAGATAAAAAAGATGGAACGGGGTAGGACCTCAGCCTCGACCAAGTTTTGTCCACCGTCTTTCAGATAAAGCAAGGAACTATTGAAATGGATTTGTCCATCTGTCCGTTTATCCGCCCGTCACACCTTTTGGAACACAGTAACTCTGCATTTAATTTGGGAATGTTAAACTTGGTATTACAACACAAGGGACATCAGCATTGACGATTCTGAACAGCCCCTGCAACTTTGTATATCTGTCAGAATCTGTATCTAGGATGAGAATAACAGGAAAGACGATCGGACAACTGACGCGAGTGATCTCACGAAATATGATATATTCGCATGCATAATTCACATTGGAATTAAATGATTCTTTGAACGGCAGATGATATGATATGTACATGCACATATAATATCGTGTGCGGAGGAGTGTTTAAGTCGCACACCACCTGATGACGCGTCTCATTAGAAAAGCCGATGAGAGAATTAGGTGATCTCTGTTTGGGAATTTAACAAACTCTTGACACCTTATTGGTTATCAATAGATGGATTTTATCGTCATTTATGAGGTTTATAATCGGTGGGTTGTAAATTTGATTTGTCTATTTTACTTCCAGGGTATGATTTATCTACATAATAGTGATATACGTTGTCACGGAAATCTTAAAAGCACAAATTGTGTGGTGGACAGTCGGTTTGTCGTCAAAATAACAGATTTTGGTCTACGTCATCTCCGGGAAGACAGTTCGTGTGAACACCACGAAAACAGTTATTCCTATTATCGACGTAAGATATATCTTTTCTCTTATAAAACCACAGCTTTATAGACAGTTCCTATTTAACATTCATTGAATAATTATAAGATTTCACTTAATATTGCAATAGTCACGCAACTTTAGTTTTTGGCCTTCCTTCCTCATCCACAATGATATTCCGGCGCTCATTGGTCCAACGGGATATTTATTGTCACTCACGGTATAAAACCTTCCCACAAACAGTATTTCATTTGAATAAAGTAGTTATAAACTTAAAACAGAAAACATTTAAATTTGAGATTTAAATCATAAGGGTTAACCATTTCTGCGTAGATACATAAATAGAGAGAATCTGGTCTAATGTGACCATGGTCACCATTTTTTTAAAACATATTCTGTAAGCTTCGCAGATCAACTTAAGAACAGAAGAAACATAAATAATAATGAATGTCAGTTAAAACAAACTGAAAGATAGTTCTGTATAATATATAGAATAGGTCAGAGGTAGGAACTATACAAGAATCTGTAAATGCGCAGCATTAAGATAAACCATAAATAAAACAATAGTGTTCAGACTCTTTATAATAGCACTGATACAACCAATTCTAAAAGGATTTACAGTGACGGAAGGGCAGATACGCATTGGGTTCTTTAGGAGACACTGTTGAGATTCAAGAAAGACCGTCTGGTTTCAGTAGACCCCGTTGATTCATGGGAGCGCTATATGATGTAGTAGGTTCGTCAGTAAATTGTACTGTGGCTCAGCGAGTAAGCCTCTATCTCGTTAACCGGGAGGTATCGGGTTCGCTTTCAGTGTTGTTTGAGAACGTTCCTCTGTATTTTCTGGTGTAGTTCCCCCTTGTCAGTGGTGAAAGCCTTGAAATGGACAGCGTCTTGTCATTTGGGTGTCCCGTCTACATATTGATGTGTTATAACAGGACCCTTGGCAGTTGGACTTCGAAATAAGAGAAGGTCAAAACGGCGCTGTCCGGACAAAATTCCCCCATGACCACACTCTATGACCATGGCGAATGCCCATCTTCATTCGCCCAGTCGTTGCAGGAAAGTAGGACGTTAAACCCATTTTATTTCAGCCGGTAACAGCCACAAGAATCCTGGCCACTTACATTATCTGGTTTTTAAAAAAAAATCATTAAACAAAGCACACTGTGATCCGATCTTTTTCAGCAAAGTTGCGCAAACAGATTGAAATATGTGATAGTAGTACCGTTAATCCTCCACATGTCCTGTTACACAATTTCATGATACGTGTTTACCAGACACCGGAAATAGATTGCGTTTTATAGCAGTATTAGATTAAAGGTTTTACAAACGGTTTAATTGAGTCATTTGACGAAGTAAATATACCATACTAACCTTTTCAAGTTGATACTATAGTTAAAATTTCAGAGAATAATGTTTTTAGAAGAAGTACTCAGTCATATTTCACAGGAAGACTTTTTTTTTATAAATTGTGTTATTCCGTGCCATTTATCATTTTACCGGACTTTATAACCTTTAGTTTATATTCAGATCTTACTATTTCAAAGACGATTAAAGTATCGATAATTAAAAATCCTGCATATTACAGAATTCAGACAGTACAGAATCAATATACTAAACACGATCTGAAACTGGTCTGATTACGTCAATTAAATAAGTATTGATTTGTTTTGTTACCATATTTTAATTTTTATTAAATGGGCTCGTTTATATAGATTATATGATCCAATGTTACACTAGCTGTCGGCTTCTGTAGATACCAACTTTAAACCTTTAAAAAGGTTACATGAAGTGTCATCACAATCGTTGTAGACAGGTTCACTTTGAGGATGGCTTTATAGGATCGTATTGACAGCGCGTATATGTATTTCTCTAATTTGGATTAAATATTGTTTTGAGAATGTTTTGCACCTTCGTATTTCGGTTGATCAATTTATTCCTTTTTTTTTTACACAGTGTCAAAATAAAGTTTTGATTTAGAAAACCTAAATACACACATCATCCATTCAGCCGAACTTTGATATCAAATTCACTTATATTAAATTACATGAATCTAAAATGCTAACATGCACCGACCCGCCTAGCACATTTGCACCTTCAAAACTTTCGTTCATTCGAATCTGAGCAATCCCATAGTAATTTAACAGTGTAAATCTTCGATAATAAATAATGACTGGAACTATCCTTGAGATTATTGATTACCGGAAAACATTAAACAACATATACGGAGAACAGCACGCCCGACAAGCAGAGTAACTGTCCTGGAAACGGGATGAAACCTAGAATGCTTTGTCAATGTACAAATCGGTATTTATAATAAAATGATATCTTAGGAATTTTAAACAACATAAACAATTAAAGAGGAAAGATTAAAATATAAAGGACATTACAATAAAATAAAACAATAAGATAATAATAAACTCATTAATGTGTCAGCTGTCAGTCATTAGATAAGTAGCTTAACGTCTAATTAATAACCAACGATTAATAGAAACATAAGAATAATAGAAATGTTTAAATGAATGAATGAATGAATGAATAATGAACGAATGAAATATTGAAAGAGTGAAATACAAACAAATCACAATATCATCACCATTATAGTAACACTCATTGGAAAACAATACGTCCAGTCTTGTGTCCCATAAAATTTATTAAGATCGTTTGCTGTAAAATCGTTTGTACAGAACAATTTTCTGAAAACATCATTAATTACAATACATTATTTATTACAATACATTCTTGATTGCAATACACTGTTGATGACAATGTATTTTCGATTACCATATTTTTGATTACAATACTTTATTGATTACTATACATTATTGATTACAATACTTTATTGATTACTATAAATTATTAATTAAAATGGATTATTGATTACAATACTTTATTGATTACTGTACATCATTGGTTACATTACATTATTGATTACAATACATTATTGATTATAATACATCGTTATAATTACAATACATTATAGTTTACTATACATTATTGATTACTATGTTGTTCTCTATTTTAATAGCTATACTTTAAACACAATTTATCCTCTGAATTATTGACTCAGAATAATGATGATATATTGTATGTAAATAAATCATGAAGATTAATGTATAGGAAGAGATCAGTGTACAGTTAGAAATTAATATATAGAAAGTGGTTTATATATATCCAATCGTTAATGATCATGTAAAGGTCATTTGAATTAAAGTAGCGATCTGAATTTAGAAGGCCATAACGGCCAACCTCTCAGACAATATTTAGTGATCTTTACGCTCTTGCCACATTTTATTTAAGGGCTCTTATTCATGCAATTGATTTACGAGTGATTGTCCTGACAAAACAATGTTGAATATGGACTCTATCTATAGTTAAATGACTGGATCTATAGATTAGTATGTTGCTTTCATTGACAGTGACAAATCCTTTCAGCTGTAACAGCATCTGCTCGATAATTTAGGCCAGCTTTATTTATTTCGTTTGATTTACCAAGAGATTAATAATAATAGTATAGTGTAAAATAAATTAGTAGAGTCCTCCAACCTAATTGATTACTAATTCGTTTCGTTTACTTTTTTTTGTTGATATTTTCAAACATTGCTATCTAACAAAGTTTCTGTCACAACCACATTCTGTCATGGGGGGGGGGGGGGAATTTATTTGGTCACATGACATGACACAATTTATTCCTACTGGTTAGCCATACAGTGCTAAAGTTTTTTATAGCCAGCCCCCCCCCCCCTTTCGATATTTGTGTAGAAGAAAAGGGTTTGAATTTACATTTTCTGCCAGGTTTTTGGTGACTTCCTTGTTCAACCTCATACTATTACATAGCACTGATCTATTACACTCACGTCGTGGACGTTTCCTGGATAATAATGTATACAATTAGTATGGGATATTTGATGCTCTTTCTTTATATTTTTATTCAGATATAGATTTGGGAAACTGGTATGACTCATGTGAAATCCTCTCCTTAATTCGCACTGTCTCTTTTTGCATAACAAATATGACATTTTCTTTTCCGCCATTTATAATGGAAATGCATTGTCGAATGTAAACAAGAAGGCGTCGATATCTAAAGCTCAACTACAGATATTATAGTGACGTGTATCCTATATAGCTTTTCTTATGTATTGAAATATGGATTATTTGATATATATTTTAAATCATTCTATCTTTTTATCTGCTTCTTGTTTTAAAGAAAAATTGATGTTAACCCATTTTAATTATCTATGTTCTTCCCTTGCATAGAAAAATTATGGACGGCACCAGAGATATTACGGGTATCAGGAAAACAGTTTAGTGGTACACAGAAAGGAGATGTATATAGTTTCGGTATTATTAGTCAGGAGATAGTATACAGAGGAGGTGCATTCTATAGACACGATATGCAATTAGCACACGAGGGTATGATTATAATTACTACAACGCGAATATATGAATACAATTACTATAACGCAGAGATATGCTGATAATTTCTATAACGCGAAGTTATGGTGGAAATTAATATAATGAAGGTATAACGCGAAAGTATGCTTGATAATTACTGTAAGGCGAATGCAAGATATGATGGTAATTACTATAACGCGAAGGGATGATGATAATTGCTTTGACGCGAAGGTGTGATGATAATTTCTATAATTCGAAGGTATAGTGGTATTTACTATAACGCGAAGATATGATGATAATTACTATAAGGCTAAGGTATGATGATAATTTCTATTACTCGAAGTTGTGATGATAAATAATGTAACGCGAAGGTATGATGATAATTACTATAACGGTAAGGTATGATGATAATTACTATAAGGAGTCATATTCAATGTGGGTGATATTCTTTTAATTTCCAAATCAGTGATTCTGGTCACCCACATCACCCTAACTACGGACTAAATGGCATTGAATCCGCACATGTGTTTTCCTAGGAACTATTAAGACTAAATGACACTGAATCCGCACATGTGTTTTCCTAGGAACTATTAAGACATCCTGTGTCGTAAGTGGTTAGATTTTAGAATATATAGATATATTGTTTGTTTTATTTTGGCAATAAAATCCAGTTCAAATCACCATCTGAGCTGGTATTCAATAACGCAATATTTATATGCTTAATGAAACGTATAATGATTAATAGCCGTCTGTGAGTCAATACATTGCCAACTAAAGATAAAGTTAAAACCTATAGATTATTCAATCAGTCACCTAAATACAGGACATTAAAAGCTTTAAAGTATAATATTATTTAATTATATATATTTACTTTCCGACGATTTTTGACCAGCATTCCGAAAAACATCGTGTTTACGCTGCATATGAAATCGCATATATATCAAATCCAGCTTGATTAATTAGTGACAATGCAAAGATCAAATCTCTGTTATTGTTTTCAATAAGACTGTACACGCATCCTGTTTATGATATTCTCTTAAACTCTTGATTTAGGGACCAGGGCCCTGTTTCACGAAATCTTAACTATAAGATAAAATCCAAATTTTAGTGGATTCTTCAGTTTTGATTGGCTAACCACTAAAATCAATCTAATATCATCAAATCAAATTACTAAAATTTGGATTTTATCTTAGTTAAAATTTCGTGAAACAGGCCCCTGCATTCATGGAAGTAACATTATACGTTTCAATGTGCTCTCAATATCTGAACTCTTTCCGGAACAAATACAACTACTAAGTATTGGGACAAAAACCATGCCTTCATAATAAGCTGTCCTATATTCAATATACGAAAATATTAAAGCAACAAGTAGCACATCACTTCGACAAAATATTAATGCTTTATAAGGTCTTTTTAAAAACAAGGGGTGTTCGGTTTTCAGATATTTATCACAAAGTAAAGAGTGGTATGAAACCATATTTTCGACCAACATTAGAAGATTTTGATTGTCCATGTGATGAGTTAGCTGGTGTTATCAGAAGATGTTGGTCAGAAGATCCGACAGAAAGACCAGATTTTCAGAGTTTAAAAAATATTATTAGAAAATTGAACAGGTACTGATTAGTTAAAAAAATTATTGACATTTATAAGCGGGATGTTTATGTTCTGAATTAAATTGATAAAAAAGTGATTTGAGGGTAGATGAAGGCAGGGTGTCCTAAATGATAAGGTCTGTCATTCAGGTTTTTGATTTTCATCCAACGCATGTAACGGACTGACATAGTGTTTTTGTTGATTGAGTGGACGTTAGCTCCCCCAACCCATCTCCTCCTCTCTCTCTGTCTCTCTCTCTGTCTCTCTCTCTCTCATTTAAAAAAGTATAATAGGTTAACCCCATGCCACCAGTCTAAAGTGAAATTCATATCAGACTTAAAAAGGGATTCTATCTGCTTTATAAACAGAAATTCAATATTACCTGGTCTGTTTGAACTGTCTAAAAAGCAAAATAATATTTATTTACCTTACAGAGAAGGGGATAAAGGAAATATATTAGATAATTTATTATCAAGAATGGAACAATATGCTAATAACCTGGAAGCTCTGGTTGCTGAAAGAACAGCAGACTATTTAGAAGAAAAGAAAAAGACAGAGAACTTATTATATCTTATGTTACCAAAGTAAGTATCTGTTAAGGGTCATGATGAAGACGGGAGCTATTTCCCTTATATTTCCGTCATCTACTAAACCTCTAGATATTTATATTTCACCGAGGATCTCCTATGCGAGATGAGCCTATCATTTGACTCCTCTTGCAAGTTTCCTAGGTAGAAGCAGACAATAAACTTCAAGGAACGAACGAACCGGGGATTTTGTAATAGGATAATTTAAAATATCGCCACAACGTACAAAATGTATCCCATTTTCGTGACCACTATTTTGTTTAACATTGTCGTTGTTGTCATTGCTCTGATAAATGCAGACGGTCAAATCATTGTTGTTATCATAGCTGTGATTCCAAAGGCGGATATTTATATAGTAAAGGAAGAGAGCCATCCCGTTAAAATCTAACTTTCGAAAACTGTTCTTATTTTAAGCATCGAAATCTGTTCTTATTTAAAAACATTGAAAACTGTTCTTTTTTAAAATATCGAATGTTTGACAAAGAGATATTATATTTTTCAGATCTGTTGCAGGCCAGCTTATACGAGGAGAACCTGTAGTAGCCGAAACGTTTGAACAAGTAACAATATATTTTAGTGATATTTGTGGTTTTACAGCTCTCTCAGCTGAAAGTACTCCAATGCAGGTAAGGATGTTTAAATATTGTGATGGAACAAATACCTAGAATCGTGTTAGGAACTTTCAAATATATAGAATATTATGATTTAATTGTGAAAGGTAATTAACAGGATGAATTACAGCATAAAACCACTTTCTTTGCTTCTCCACATAAGATAATAATGTTTGGCGCAATATAGCCCGGTTGGAGCTGACGTGCCATAAAACTCCATTTCATTGATTCATTCCGCATAAGATACGAATAATCCCGGTTTCTTCTCTTGGCTGTCACTGGGCCCTCTAGCTTCGCTTCACTTATCTTCCACTGTATTGAATGTTCTAAATGTCTGATTGGCGTGTACTATTTGAATTACAGCGGCATACGGTTTTTCGAATCTGTTACAATAAATTATTATGCGTTATTAGATGAATTGTTTGGGTTGTTCTTTCCGAGATTGAGATGCAATCTGTCGTCTTACTAGATGTATATGCAAGGTAGTTCTACGACAAGTATTCGTGAATATCTGAAGCATCTAATGCTTAATATTCATATAGGATCATCCATTTTGGCATTTGTTTATTTGGATTCAAATGCTGTACTTTTTAAACTGACATTAAAATATGTTGGTTGATATATATTATACAGATCACATAAAACGTCAGTCTGCCATTCGAAACTATTAGTTTCATGGATATTGTTTTACCCATTTTGTATGTTATTGACGACTATGATGATTGAGGGAAATTATATGTTTATCTTGTAGATAGTTAATCTATTAAATGATCTATATACAACGTTTGATTCAACTATCGAAAATTTTGATGTATATAAGGTAAGTATCTTATATATAGCAATAAACTCCAAATCCTACTAGACAGTAGCTTGCAATTTGATGGGTTACAACACTCAAGATCATTTCCGAGAAACAACTAGAACTTCCTTCAATAGCATCGACATTAATATTTCCACTTAAATCAGCAGATTTGAGAAACAGTTCTACTTATTATTCTAAAGCAGTGTCTTATAGTTAATATTTGGCCACAGTACACCATTAAATTAACATTGACTCTAATGTTAGTTCTCGCCTCTTTGAACGGTTCTAACTTTACCCAAAATTTCGTGGGGTTGAACACGTTCTACCACAGATAGAGCAACATGTGGCAACCTTTTGCTGAAAATCAGGTATAAGGTTCGCCATGGAAATCTTGAGATACACAAACGGAAAGAAGCATGAAAACTGGCAACTGTCGCCCCTGCAATTCAACGTAACCAGCCTCTTAACACTCTTATCCTTCCGCCTCAAAATCATGAATATTCACCAAAACCTGGAAGACCATGTATATTCAAATCGCTCTCCTCGATTCTACACCAAACGTCAACAAAAATCGCCACGGTCATTATTGCAATCTACAGACACAGTTGAAATCGTAAATTATGTTGCTTTTCAAAGACCCTAGATAAACAACTCTTCTTGGTTACTTTAAAATCATTTTTACTCTTACTTTAGGTAGAAACAATCGGTGATGCATATATGGTAGTATCGGGACTTCCGGATAGAAATGGAAACCTTCATGCCAGAGAGATATCCCGGATGTCTTTAGCATTGTTAGATGCTGTTTTATCATTTCGTATTAAACACAGACCAGATTTACAACTAAAACTTAGAATAGGTTTACACACAGGTAGGTTATACATAATGTTTTATTATTCTATGTTAAATACACACCAAACTTAGAATTGGTTTACATGCACTATGTTAAACATTAAGAGTTATTATTCTATGTTAAATACACACCAGATTTACAACTTAAACAAAGAATAGTCTACATAGGTTAAATATAATGTTTTATTATTCTATAGACGTTAAATACACACCAAACTTAGAATAGGTTTACACACAGGCAGGTTAAACATAATGTTTTATTATTCTTTGTAAAATAAACATCATATTTACAACTAAAACATGGACTAGGTTTTGCATACAGGTAGGTCAAACATAATATTATATTATTCTATCTTAATTTCCATAGGTCAGATTTACAACTTAAAGTGGGTTTACACAATATAGGTTAAACACGCCAACAGTGAGACTGATGTTCCTCGCCAAATTGAAAAAGTAATTAGATGACACAAATATTTTAATTGCATATTTATCCTTTTATAAAGCATCGATCATTTTGCTTATAGTGCTTAATGTGAGCAGAAAATGACAATTTTCGAAGTAGAAATAGGTTCCGAAAGGTGACAGACGAAAATATGCATTTTTGAAACTATAGGAAATGCGCATTGTCGAACCGTCATGGTACTTATGTCATCATATACGCCAAATTTCACAAATCTCAGTTAGAATCAAAGTTGTCGGGCCCCAAAGTCCCGACCAATCAAATTGCTCATCATCGAACTTAGACAAGGTATTGATGTACTGAAACTATACTCCCAGTTTGATGTACTGAAACTATACTCAAAGTTTCACCACTCTCAATCAGTTAGAATCAAGGTTATCATATTCCAAAACATGGACGCAGAAAAAGTTCATTATTGAACTTAGTCAAGGTATTGATGTAATCAAACTATAGGAAATGTGCAATATCGAACTTAGCCATGTTAATGAAACTATAGAAAATACTCATTAGTTAAGGTATTGATGTTTCACCATTCTAACTCAGTTTTCGAGTTCCAACGAACCTAGTCAAGGTATTGATGTAATGAAACTATACACCAAGTTTCACCACTGTGATTTAATTCGAAGCAAAGATATCGTGTCCCAAAGCATCGGACAATCGAATTGTGTATTTCTGCTTAGTCTAATACACTGTTCAGGCGCTTATTTTTTCAAACCAGTACAAAATCGCCGGGTTTTTTTAAGACAAGATCGTGTTGCGTTCTCACGTACTCTAAGCCAAACCGGTTTAACTATTCCGACCTCTTTCGTCGGAGGTTAGAGTTAACTACGCACGCGTACGCGCCATTTCCTAGCATATGTAAACACCCGGTCAAGAAAATGCTCATCATCGAACTCAGTCAATGCATTCACCTAATAAACACCTACACCAAGTTTGAAAATTAAGCCGGGCGACAACAATATTAGACTTAAACCGACAAGTTACATACACGTTGATTTTAGTAAGGCATATTAATCATAGGTTTTACTAATGCATATTAATCATAGGTTTTACTAATGCATTTTACTAATGTATATTAATCATAGGTTTTACTAGAGAGAGAGAGAGAGAATGGGGTTTAACGTCCACTCGACACAAACTAGGTCATTTCGGGACTAACATATGGTTTAATTTTATTTACATAATTCGCTTGCGCGTAGGGGTCTTTAGCAGTGGGAGGAAACCGGAGGACCCGGAGAAAACCCACGAGGTTGGACAGGCGACCCATATGTTTTACTAATGCATATTAATCATAGGTTTTACTTATCCATATTAACATAGGTGCTACTAATCGATATTATGACAGGTTTTCCTAATTCTTATTAATCATAGGGTTTCCTAATCCATGTTAATCATAGGTTTTACTAATCCATATTAATCATGGGTTTTCTTAATCCATATTAATTATAGGTTTTTCTTGTACCCAAAGAAGTGTTTTTATCATTCTAAATTAAAGCTAGACATAATTGCAAGACAAGGACAGATAATAACATGTATATTTTTGACGCAGGTCCTGTAGTTACTGGTGTAGTAGGATTAAAAATGCCTCGTTATTGTTTATTTGGTGATACTGTTAATACAGCTTCTAGAATGGAATCAAACGGATTACGTGAGTATCCTCTTACAATCATTGGCAATATCAACGCGGCTGTGAGCGTCATTTTATATCCAGCTGAAACTACAAAAGTAACGCGTTAAAACCAAATGTGTTAATAGGATATATTTGATTCACCGAGTGGTGTGGTTGCGAACCTAGAGTAATAGGTTTGTTATTAAACATGATGTGAACGACACTACAAAATGTAGTCATTGGTAGTCATTCTAGAGTAGAATCTTAAACAGGCATTATGCAAGCGCTAAATCTGCCTATTGCATGTCTTTCTTCGGGCCTTAAATGTTATGGCAAAACCACAATCAACTCTCAATCTCATCGGATGGCTCCGATTTTAACTGGTTTAGAACGTTCGGCCATTTAATGATTTAAAGTAAACATGGATTATCGGGTCTATGTTTATTATTATTAACAACGGTAGCGATGACAATCGAGACTACACTGTTCTTCTAACGGCGATAACTCGGCTCAGAGTGAAGTAATTTGACTGAAATTTCAACATATTCCCTTTTCATTTTCTATTTTGTAACTATAATAGCGAGAATTGTGAGCTCTTCATCTAATCTTACATAACGCCCCTTTAATCAAGGACATAACTTGACGCACAGTTTAGACACATTTCATACTCTCTAATCGTTTAAGACTTGAGTCACAATATAACCTACCTCTTGCTATTGCCGCCTTACCCACCCTCTATTCAAGAAATATGGGTAATAATTGGCCTACCTTTCTTCTCGAAGATTTAAGCAGCAGGGTAAAAGAATATTCATGGCAAATGGACACCTACCTAGCTGATTTAGATCTATATACGTAAAGCTTCGCGTGTCCATACTAAATCTGTATTGGATGGGTGTCGGAATGATTTTGGTAATATTTCCAGGACAACCCTGTTTTAAGGAATAATCAGGATCTTCTTCAGTAATATATCTAGGGCAGTTCCGTTTTGTATTTCGTTGTATTTAACAAGAAAGATATGTATTAACTATTTATCTATTTCAGCTCTGAAGATACATGTGAGTTCAACTACCAAATCTATATTAGATACATTCGGTACATTTGATTTAAATCTTCGTGGAGAGGTGGACATGAAGGTAAGTGTAAAAGGTAGAAACATGATGGCCATTTACTCAAAATGATTGACAACAAAATATTTGAGATTGGAGATAAGATAAAACAACAAACAACTGATCATGTCCCATTATGGGGAATTTCCTTTTATAAAAATATGATAAAGGACTATTGTCTAAAGACTAGAACGCTGTGTTGAGCCCTGTCAATAACTATCGAAAGTCCTTGTTTTGGACTTGGCGTTTTGCCGTAGTTCTATAAACTGAATAGGTATAAACAGTTCTCTTCGATGTGCCTACATTGAGATTTCTTGTAAGCATCTAGCCGATCATGACTTACACTTGAATAGTACAATAGTTGGGAAATGTTCCCTTTCGTCATGGGTTGTCTCCCCTTTGAGTAAAACCTGAATCACCACATACCAAGGATTGCACATAGCAGTGAACGCTTTCGGCTGCCCACTAACAACACCCGGGTCCGCTCACTGAACCTAATATATTATTTTGTTGATTATTGCGTTCAATGTCCGTGTATTGTTTGTTATATGTGTTGATTTATTTAGCGAGATAACAATCTGTATTTGTTCAAAAATGATTTACAAGAAAGACGGTTTTGACGGCGGTCATGAGTGAGAACGTCCCAAAAATTCACAATAATAAATGTGGATCTATTATTGTTTAAATTAAAATGACCAATTATTGGATTAAATTGTCAGTAAGTGGCGACTGTTATTCAGCATTAGGTATCACTATTTACCTTAAATTTATATATGTAATTAAACTGATCATCTTCAACTTTATTTTTCAGGGTAAAGGATTCCAGATAACATATTGGTTAATAGGTGAACGGGATCCAGATAAATAATAAAACCATATTGATGAACTGTTTTCGAACGGATCTTTATGCAAACCGTTTCGTCACACTTAAGTGCGTTTTGTACAGAAATTTTGCGAAAATAGATCAAGAATGACGGGTCATTCTTGTATTAAAGTCTGCGAATTGTCTTAGTTTAGAGTGACCGACTTGGTTTGATTTGAAATGACTGGTTGTCCCTATCCCAGAATACCATCTTTGTCTCGGTTGAGTATAACCGATTGTTCTCAGAGTAATCGAATACCTCGGTTAAATTTAGTGTATACTTACAAGAGAACTTTGTATTGTGCTTTGAAACCATGTATGACTGTACAAAATAATGGCTGTTTTACGGGTCACTACAGTGGGATACAACAGAAAGAACGACGAAAACAATAAATAAATGTGCAATCCTCGTCTATAAGATGTCCTATTTTATCCAATTTTGATTTAAATAAATAACATCTTCATATTACCAGCCATACATTTATTGAATGTCTCTACAAGTGAGAAATTAGTAAAATTTGAAATCATTAAACGAGTATGGTTTTACTTGTTCCATTATGGTAATTATTCACTCCTAAATACTATCTTGGACCCACCCAATAAACTAGGCTCTCGACAAAGTGTATGTGGGATTCACAATATAATCAAATGACATAAAATTAAATTTAAAACAATGAAATAACTAGAAATATAGTTTCATGTTTAGTGGGTGTTTTTTTTAGCTAAAAAACACGTCCACGGGCGCCTGTTTACTGGGTTGATATTTTAAAAACACGACAACAGACGGCCTGGCCTCTGTTATCCATTTGATTATTTTACCAACTTGCTTCTGTAAATACACCCGGAAATGATGCCGATTGGTCAACTCCTTAGAAAAACGTTTGTAAACCAGACATAACTCACGGGTGTATTTACGGCAGTCAGCTTTCAGGGTGCAGAATCAGTTATTTTCTCAATAGTTTTTGTACAACCACACCTCTATTATACAGCCTACTCTATATCAAATCTTAACCTACCTCGATAGTAACGAGTATGAACTTGGTTACGTAGAACTGTCTCTTTGTTTGCCGTTTCTTTGTTACTCCCAATTGGAGTTTTCAGTAACAATCGCAAATTCGTCTATTATGGCTATATGGACACTTTTGTCAGAAAATATAATATATTCCGCATGTAATATATTTGGTGAGCAAACAAATAGAGTGGAATTAAAATTACCGTTGGCGTAATTCGGGATCTGAAATAATGTTAACAGTACAAGGAAAAGCGTATTTCATGGGAGGTAACTCCACTCATAGTCATAAAGTACAAATAATGAAATGAAATGAAATGGGGTTTAAGGTTCTACTGTTCTGCTCCGACTGCGCTGATGAAGACGACCATACGCCATACAGTGTGCTATGAGGGAAATTTTGCCCAGGCAGCGGCACAATGGCATACTCTTATATATAATTCCAACTGCCAAAGGATTTTTTACGTGTACGCCAATGTATATACGGGACCTCGGTTTTTCGTCCCATCCACAGGACTAGACAGCTGCCCTTGTCAGGAAAGTACAAATAGAATGGTGTGTTCCTTGTTACAGTATTTAGAAAACGCTATATATTGGCTGGGTTTGTTCTCGACATAAATATCATTAAGCCCATTGTCTGTCTCTTCGTGTGCTACTCTGTTGTATTGTGGCTGATTTTTCTGGTTGTGTGTTTGTCGTTGGAAGTTTTAAATTGCCTACTACCTCAGTTTCATTTGGCTTTAAACCGGATGCCTTGATCACCAGTCCTGTCATGCATGCTAGATCATTCAGTTTATGTCTTTTATCTGGCTATATTCCACAAGCCAATTACCACGCGGTAACGTCAAATGTGTATGTGTCCAGAGGAGGGAGGCGGGGGAGGGGGGTGTCTAGTGGTCGGTCATTGAGTCAAGGGACGTTTTTTCGAATCCCCGATTGTATTTGACAAGGAGTAGGGTCGCTTGTCCATCCTTGTTGGTTTTCTACGGGTCCTCTGGTTTCTTCCCACTGCTAAAGACCCATACGCGCAAGCGCGTTATTAAAATAATAAAAATGAACCATATGTTAGTCCAGAAATGACCTAGGTTTTGTCGAGTGGACGTTAAACCCCATTTTTCTCCTCTATTCTGCAGACGACCAGATTCCATGGCATGCGCAGATGGGAAGAGAATGCCCGTTTTGAATTTTAACCACTATTTCTAGGCATGTATCTGTTTATTCATTCAGCTTCTACCACCTGTATTGTTACGAATAGAAGATATCGCTCCCATCAACAACTTTCTTACTGCAACCCTATTAACTATATTCTGGAGATTATAGGCATATAAAAATTCACAAGATATCACTGACGACCTGTTAGTATTGGTCGTATTAGCATAATATAAACCTATCAGAAACGCCCTGAGAACCACCCCTACAGTAGCTTTTCCCCGAAAATAAGTTCGAACTAGAAAGATATCACCTAAATCAATATCAACACAAAAGCAACTTCGAGTGGAACAAGAACAACACTAACATAATGAAATCTGGGTCCCTGAAAAACGATTACAAGCCAGACGGCTATCAGATAAATTAACATAAGATTACAACATAAAATTCGACACATTTTCATGATAATCGCAACCAGATTTCATGCCTGTAACAGAATTTTATGAAAGTAAACATTGTGAAATTAGGATTAGACACATTTTGGATGAAACGACCAATAATACCTGTTCAACAGGGTGATATATGTCAACCTTGTTCCTACAAAAACTGACTAGGCTGATTTTCTGAGAAGGAAATGTTGCAGTGGCTTTCAACCCAAGTTAGACTTTTTAGCCAGCTGGCTCAATTTAAAGGTACCTATAATACTCGTCTCCAGTAGTCCAGAGAATAAGCCTACTCGGTGTCTTTCAATCTTCGGACAGCATACTCTTAAATCCGCCATGCTATCGATCAGTTTTAATACACAAACAATCAAATCTGTTCTCAATTCAAGGCCACCAATCTCAAATCAAACCCTAATCAAACATTAGGGGAACATGAAATGAAATTAAATGGGGTTTAATATCATAATATACCATCCAGGCTAATGACGGCGGGCATACGTCATGTAATGTGTACTATGAGATAAATTTTGCCTGGGCAGGAGCGCTAAGCCCTCTTATCTCGAATTCTAACTATAGAAGGGTTCCTTGAGGATAATTGGAATATAATTATACGAAGCCTCGGATTTACCCTTCCAATATTAAACAAAACCAGTTCAATGTGCATTACATGTTTAGATAGCACTATTTAGCTTCTTCCTCTGTGAGGGGCTTTTTGGTGTTCGCTTTGTTTTTTATAAATAAATTGTCCTGGCTTAGCATGTAATAGATAAAAAATAATGAACTGTTTGTCTACGAAGAGGATTCCAATTATACAATGGTCCAGTTAAGAAGTATTTTCTGCTTAGTGATGGACTTAAGACATTTTAAGACAGGATATGAAATCACGTAAAAATCATAAATTAGTGTAACTTACAACTCCAGTTGAATTTTATCAATGATTTTAATCTTTTTAGCTATATTGATTAAAAACCATGTATACGGACCGGATTAACCTAGTTCAGTCCCTGGGGCCTAGGAACTGTAGGACGCCCAGCGTTAGATATTCATGATTGCTTTATTTCAACATTCTTGAGCTGTACAAACAAATTTCCGGATATAAGTTTGCTTTAGATCAAACTCAGCAATATTGATTTACATTTTTTTTTTCAAAAAAAAGAAGGAAAAACTAAAATAATAATTAAGGAATAAAACATGAAAGAGACTAAAACATAAAATTGAGCCTATGGTTGAGAGCAGAACACCATATCACCAGTATGCCGATGTGAAACTTTAGCTCATATCCCGACGGGGAGGTGCTAATTGTAGGCCGGTTGGGGAGGTTCGGGAATTTCCGGAGTCCACAATGGCCGCTTTATATAAATGAATATTTTGAGGAATACTAACTCGGCTATTGTGGACTCCGGGAATTTTCGAATCTCCCCAACCAGCCTACAATAATCGTCCACCATCCCCACATAGTCAACACAATACTTCGGTTATTTTGATACTAACGTTTTGAAGAGGAGACATTTACCCGGACAGTGACGTCAAAGCCTACACTTTATCCAACTGTTAAAGGCCCATTCTCACGATGCGACTTGTAGTAACTACTTGTAGTATCGACCCGATAATACCCTAGTCGTACCAACTTTTACAAGCTCCCAACCAGTTGAAAGCGAGTTGAGCGAAAAAGAAACTTCCCTATTTCAGTCAACAGATCGTATGAAATTGACCAATCAGCGACGTCGAGTATTAGTACAAATACGAGTTCTCTCACTTTGTTGTTGGTAAACATGGGCGCGAAGCGCACCCATCAAGAGCCGCTCAGCAAAGCTGAGCAAGTTCACGTAATAGGGAACTGTACGCGCCGGCAGTGGGTCTACGCAGTATCCACTGTCTAACCCAGACGGATTTGGGTTTTCTCTTTTTCTTTTTGTTCTTATTTTTCAAATGTAGGGCAATAAAAGCAAGCGTCTCTTCGTCGCTTGATGACGCCATTATGCTAAGACAAGACGAGATTATCGTGAGATTCCAAGTCGTATCAATTCATTTATATACGATTTTGTAATCTACATGTAGATACTACATGTAGATACTACAGGTAGTTACTACATGTAGATACTACAGGTAGTTACTACAAGTCGCACCGTGAGAACGGGCCTTAAGGGTCCTTTTACGTGCACGCAAATTATGTTGATACCTGTGGTCCTCTGTTTCCTGACGTCAGAATCATTAGGCATCACTGTATAATTTTGTCAGCTCCACTGGCCCTACGCAAGAAATGCGGGAGCTTGAAAAATCCAGAGGGTCTTCCTTGGACAGTTTTGTGAGGAAGGTGGTGGGGAACACATTATTATGATGAATATAAAGTTTCCCAACAATCCGAAGAAAAAACATGTTTGGCTGTCTAAATACTTTCCAGATTCAGAATCTATTTAGCTTGTTTCTACAGATGTATGAATTTTTACAGATGGATTCATGGCTTTTGTATTCCATTAAAATCAAATCCGCGGTATCCGCAGGATTTTGGATTCATTATAACGATCATTCCCAAGTCAATAACAGAATATTCTTTAAAAACATATTTAATAAACTATATGCGAAGTGACATGGATCTGTGAAAGGAAAGAGTCATTTCAATCCTAACAATTTAAGAAGAACTAAAGTCGCAGAACTTTATTTGAAAATTCGTTAATATGCATTCGATCGACAAACTCTAGAATAAGATGTGTGTGTGTGTGCGTGTGTGTGTGGGTGTGCGTGTGTGTGTGTGTGGTGATGTGGGGGGGGGGGGGAGGCGACAATCCTAAACACTGCAAGTAAGTAACATTCAAAACTCACTATCAGTTGTCAATGCTAGATAAAGTTTTTAAGTCAATCTAGCGTCATGATTCCGTCAAAATATCATAAAACAAAATAAATAACCTAAGCACAGGGCCGCCGAG